TCTGGGTTCTCTATTTTGTTCCATTGATCTGTGTGTCTGTTTTTATGCAAGTACCATGCTGTTTTGATTACTATAGCCTTATAGTATAGTTTGATACCAGATAGTGTGATTCCTACAACTTTATTCTTCTTTCTCAAGATTCCTGTGGCTATTCAGGGTGTTTTGTGGTTCCATATAAATTTTTGGATGATTTGTTCTAGTTCTATGAAATATGCCATTGGTATTTTGATAGGAATTGCATTTAATCTATAGATTGCTTTGGGTAGTATGGACATTTTAATGATGTTAATTCTTCCTATCCATGAACACAGTATATGCTTTCATTTATTTGTATGTTCTTCAATTTCTTTCTTCATTACCTTATAATTTTCTTAGTACAGGTCTTTTACTTTCTTGGTTAACTTTATTCCTAGGTATTTTTTAATGCAATTGTAAATGGGATTGTTTTCTTAATTTCCCTTTATGATAGTTTATTATTGGTATATAAGAATGAAACAGATTTCTGAATATTTATTTTGTATTCTGCTACTTTACTGAGTTCATTTATCAGCTCTAATATTTTCCTGGGAGAATCTTTAGGGTTGTCTATATACAGTATCATGTCATCTGCAAATAATGACAGTTTTAGTTCTTCTTTTCCAATTTGGATGCCTTTTATTTTTTCTTCTTGCCTGATTGCTGTGGCAAGGACTTCCAGTACTATGTTGAATAAGAGTGGTGAAAGCAGACATCCCTATCTTGTTCCTGATCTTAAGGAAATGCTTTTAGTTTTTTCCTGTTGAGTATGATATTTGTTGTAGGTTTGTCATATATGGCCTTTATTATGTTGGGATGTGTTCCTTCTATTCCTACTTTGCTGAGAGTTTTTCATTATAAATGGGTGTTGGATATTGTCAAAAGCCTTTTCTACATCTATTGATATCATATGATTTTTTTATCCTTCATTTTGTTTATGTGGTATATCACGTAATTGACTTGCAGATTCTGTACCAACCTTGCATCCCTGGAATAAATCCCACTTGATCATGGTGTATAATCTTTTTAAAGTATTGTTGGATTTGGTTTGCTAATATTTTGTTGAGGAATTTGCATCTATGTTCATCAGGGATATTGGCTTATAATTTTCTTTCTTTATAGTATCTATCTGGTTTTGGGATTAGGATAATGCTGACCTCATAAAATGAGCTTGATAGCCTTCCCTCCTCTTGAATTATGTGGAATAGTTTGTTAAGGATAGGTGTTATATTTTTTGTTGCTCTGATGAATAGGATATTTTCCCCATTGTATCTCCTCAATGATTATTGGTGGTATTTAGGAAAGCTATTGATTTATATCTACTTATTTTGTATTGTGCTATTATTGAATAACAATAATGAAATTATTATTATTGCTGGTATTTATTAAATGTTTGCCATATACCATGTCTTTAAGTACTTTAAATATATCTTTCCATTTAGTCTTCATGACAAACCAGTGAGATCAGTATTATTATCATCCCCTTTTTGTGGATGAGAATACTGATGCTGAGAAGATAACCTCCCAAGGTTATTCATCTCATCAGCAGTGAATCTGTGATTCAAACTCGTATGTTTAACCTCTGTATTATATTAATTCTATCAATTCTGGGAGTTTTTCAATGGATTTTCTCAAGTGTATATATTTAATCACACTCGCCACAAGTAACTTTATTTTTGTATCTTTGTGTCCAGTAGTCACTCCTCTTATTTTGACTTCATGTTTTGTTAAATTGTTAAAATGAAACAGTGAAAGTAGGCATCCTTCTTTTGCTAATGATTTAATAGAAAAACCATTATTGTTGATTTAAATTTAAAAAATTATGTTAAGGAGGTATCCTTTCATTCCTAGTTTTTTGAGTTTTTAAAGATCAGGAACAGGTGTTAAATTTTATGAAATGTCATTTTGTAAACTATTGAGTTTATTATATGGACACCCAACTGTGTTAATTCAGATTCATAATTTAGAAATGAAATAACTATAAATGAAGTTCAATTGGTGCTTTTCCTTTTCCAGCAATATCTGGAGCTTGTTTTCAAAGTGACATGTGGGTGGTAGAGGCAGAAATTGTTTGTTGTTTTTTTTTTTAAATTATGGGCTTAAATTTTTCCCTTATCCAGATTTCGAGTCTGTATTAGGTAAAAGAAAAGATTTTGTATAGGGGGCATTTTTAAGGTGTTTTCTTTTGAACAGCTTGTAAAGATATTACTTGGTTATAATTCAAAATTTTATTATATTTAATTGGGTTAGATTCATGTTGACAGAATTGTAAAACAAATATATAAGGATTATTTCTAATTACATGTTGCACAAATCTTCATATATTGTTGGCATTCATTAAACTGTTATTATTAGTTATAATAGTTATAGCCCACAAAGACAGTGCTTGCATTTGAAATGTTAAAGCTTTTAATTGTTTTTTATATGACCTACATTAGCTATACATTAGAAAGAGAATCTATGTTATTCTTTTAATATGTGGTTAAAAACCAGCAAAAGGATTATGATTTGATATTTACTGATATTTCATATTGAGTAGTTTGTTTTGTGTTTTTTTAAAATAGCAGCATCTTTTTAAATTAAAAAAATTATTTTCTATTATTATTATTTTAATCCTCACCCAAGGATATGTTTTTATTGATTTTTTTCTTAGAGAGAGAGGAAAGGAGAGGAAGAGAAAGAGAGAAACATTGATGTGAGAGAGAAACATTTGTCAGTTGCTTCCCGCACTTGCCCCCACCAGGGATCAAACACACAACCTGGGTATGTGCCCTGACTGGGAATCAAACCTTGGACCTTCTGGTGCAGGGATGATGCTCCAGCCAACTGAGCCACATATTGAGTAGTTATGACCAAGAATTGATTTAGGGAAATGGTGCTTTTTCATATGTTTATCACTAGATGTGTCAGCTGATGAGAAAGGGAGAATTGACAGAGCATAGACAAATGCAAGGATTAGGAAAAGAAAGTTGTTTCTTGTTTATATCTCACAGAGTTGGGAATACTCAGTAAGTCAATTGTAAGATGATATAGTGAAACTGCTGGGGTTGTGTTAGTTTTGTTTGTTGTTGTTGTTTTCCCAAGAGGAGCCTGATATTTCAGTGTGTAGAGTTAAGAAGAGGAAAGTTTTCCCTTGGAGCAGGATGCATCTCTAAGAATGACTACCAAGTAGAAATGAGTGGCTTGATCATTAAGATAGTTCAGTAGATTATTTAGGCTTTACTGCTTACATAATGAATCTGAGATAAAATTTACCAAGATGCTCTGCATTTCTTGTTTTCAAACATAAAATGAAGTAAGCTATTGTCAAATCTCAAACCAAATCCAAAAGAAAAATAACCTGCTGGACCACACTGAAGACAGACATTATTACTCCTAAATTCAACTTCTTAGGAAAAAAATATTGGATACACAGTAATTTAGAAAACATTTTAAAATTACCAAATATGGCTTTGGAAAAAATTTTCAAGTTTAGTTCTTAACTGTAATCTCTCAGAATAAGTGAATCATGAAAAAAACATATTCTGTCTACATCTTCTAACATCATACCTTCCAAACATGTCCACTCTAAATATTCAAAATGATAGAAACTGCTTACAGACAACTTCTGATTAATGGCCTTAGTAGCAATTTAGTGTTAATGCATTGAAGAGTATGTCATTGTCCTCTGTATCAGTTATCTGTTACTTAAATAACATGGGCTAGATATTCAAGAAGGTATTTATTGCATTTAAGTAATAATACTGTGTATTAAACAACCACAATAGTTCACTAGCATGTCATAAACATTTCTTTTTGCTCATAAATCTACAGATTAGCTGAGCACATCTGCTGCTCTTGGCAGGCTTGATTTGGCAGTTTTTCGGGTCTTAGCTGGAGTTCACTCATGTGTCTGGAGGTCTGTTGGCTGGTGGCTGATCTAGGATGGCCTTGGCTAAGGTGACTCAGCTCTGCTCCACATGGTGTTGGAGCTTTCAGTAGGCTAGCCAGGGCTTCACGGTAGTGGCATGGTTTCAAAAGAGAGAGCATGGAAACAAACAAGTCCTTGTGAGGTCTTGGCTTGGAACTGGTATGTAACACTTCCACCACACTTTTTAGGCCAACACAAGTCACAGACCAGCTTCAAGGGCTGGGGAAATAGACTCTTGGTGAGACTAGCTTCAAAATCACATTAAGAAGAACATGGTCAGAGTTTGGGATAGGGAATTGGGGTCACTGTTGCAATCAATCTGCCACATCCCCTTTCATCTTTCTCCACTTGATTTGGCCAGATTTCTGTTCTTGGGCTGATCATTTCATGGGCAGTCTAGCAAGAAAGGGACTCTGGATCTCAGCACCTACTGAAATGGGCAGTGCAGGCAATGTTATATAGAGATGTGTCTCTCAGAGAGATGTCCTTTGGATTTCTGCCGGTGGTTTGTCACCTAACTTTATCTGCTTTGTTACCAAGAAGAAAAAGAAAATCACGTCAGAAAAACTGTATTTATATGAAGAGGGAGACAAATCAATTATAGCTAAGTAAAATTTGAAGTGTTTAATAGGGGGAAAATTAAATGTTGCAGTTTAATTTTCTGTAGATCATGGATAGCAGCAAATGTTTGAACCAAATACAATGCATTGTTATGTTTTCAACCCCATTTGTAAAAATCTGAAATGTAAGAGTGGGCAAAAAATGTAGACTTAGAACTTCAGAGCATCAAAATATCGTGACTGACTAGTTTTCTCTGTGCTTCTCCCTCTATTCCCCACTGGTGAGCTCACTGCTTTGGTAAAATGTCCACCCAGGAAGGGATGATGGTGATTCATGTGCGTGTACCTACTGGTTTTAGAACAAATCATTCCTCGTGGTTATATGTGGGATATCTCAGTACAGTATTCATAACATTTAGCACAGTGCCTTACATGAGCTAGACACTTAAGAAGGTATTTATTGCATTTGAGTATGGGAATGTTGATTTTTGCCCCCCTTTCTGTTTTTTTCCCAGCATTAGCAGATCGGCTATTTGGTTGCACCCTCCAGGAGGACAGGGATAGGCAAGATTGTATAGGGCTGATAGAGGTCCCAGATTCCTATGGTGGTCCTCGGGTGCAATTTCCACTCAATTCTACTTCTCTTCATGTACTGATTGAGGCCTTTAAGAAGCAGCAGGTAAGTGGAAGCGAATACTGCCTTGATTCTTGTACATAATGTGTTCGATTACTGTTTGTGGAATGTGTGAATGAAAATACTGCAGCAGCAATGCATTCCCTTGGGGAAAAGCTTCACATTGAATGAGCTACCCTCTGCTTTTCTTAACCCATTGAATAGAAGTATCCTCAGGTGAACAGAAACCTCTTCTCTATCTATAACTTATGGCATTTCCTTTTTCTTTTTCTGAAATATAATTCACCATAAAATTCATCATTTAAAGTATAAGATTCAGTGGTTTTTAGTACATTCACAGGATTGTACAACCATCACCAGTAGCTAATTCCAGAACATTTGCATCACCCCGAAAAGAAGTGTCATACCCATTACCATTCCCTTCTCCTTCACCCCTGGCAACCACTATTATACTTTCTGTCTCTATGGGTCTGTCTATTCCAGATATTTCATACAAATTAAATCATATAATATGTGGCTTTTTGTGTCTGACTTCTTTCATTTAGCATAATGTTTTTAAGGTTCATTCATGTCTCAGCATGTTTTATTACTTCTTCTATGGCTAATAGTCTATTATATGGATATACTATTTTTGTTTATCAATTCATCAGTAGATGGACTTCTGGATTTTTTCTACCTTTTGGCTATTATGAACAATGCTGCTATGAGCATTCATGTACAAGTTTTTGCATGAACATATGTTTTCATTTCTCTTGAGTATATACATAGGGGTGGAATTGCTGAGTCATGTGGTTACTCTATGTTTAACTTCTTGAGGAGCATCCAAACCATTTTCCACAACTGCACCATTTTACATTCCTACCAGCAATGCATGAGGGTTCCAAATTTCTCAAATTATTTTGTCAACACTTATTATTTTCTGTTTTCTTTTAAATTTTATTTTTATTATAGCCATCTTAGTTGTGTGTGAAGTGGTATCTCCTTGTGGTTTTGATTTGCATTTCCCTGATGACTAAAGATGTTGAGCATCTTTCCATGTTTATTGGCCATTTGTACACATTCTTTGGAGAAAGTCTATTCAGATCCATTGCCTACTTTAAAATCAGGTTATTTCTCTATTTATTATTGAGTTGTAGGAATTCTTTATATATTCTGGATATAAATCCCTTACCATATACATGGTTTGCAAATATTTTCTCCCATTTTGTAGGTTGTCTTTTCACTTTCTTGATAATGTCCTTTGATTCACAAAAGTTTCTAAATTTGATGAAGTCCAATTTATCTGTTTTTTTCTTTGGTTGCTTGTGCGTTTGGTGTCATATCTAAGAATCTGTTGCCAAATCCAAGGTCATGAAGATTTACCCTTATGTTTTCTTTTAAGAATTTTATAGCTTTAGCTCTTACATTTAGGTTTATGAACTATTTTCAGTTAATTTCTATTCAACTTCATTCTTTGCATATGGATATGTAGTTTTCCCAGCACCTTTTGTTTGAGTCTGTTCCCGCCCCCCTATTGAATGGTCTTGGTACCCTTGTCAAAAATTAATAGGCCAAAATTAATAAATCCATTAATGGTATGGATTTATTTCTGGACTCCCAATTTGATTCCACTTGTGGTGTGTCTATCCTTATGCCAACAGCACATTGTCTATTACTGTGGTGTATACATTGATTAGTTTTCTTATGTTGAATCACCCTTGTATTCCTGGAATAAATCCCACTTGTTCATGGTGTATAATTCTTTTAAAATTCTATTGGATTTGGTTTGCTGGTATTTTGTGAGGATTTGTATTTTATTCATAAGTGATATTGAGATGCATTTTCTTTTCTTGTGATGTCTATATCTGGCTTTGGTATCAGGGTAGTACTGACTTCATAGAATGATTTAGGAATTGTTTCCTCTTCTATTTTTTTGCAAGAGTTTGAGAAGGATTGGTGTTAATTCTTTAGATGTTTAGTAGAGTTCACCAATAAAGCTCTCTGGTCTTGGATTTTTATTTGTTAGGAAGTTTTTGATTAATGATTCAGTCTCTACTTGTTCTAGATCTGTTTGGATTTTCTGTTTCTTCTTGAGCCAGTTTTGGTAATTTGTATGTTTCTAAGATTTTGTACATTTCATCTTAGTTATCTAATTTGTTGGTGTACAATTGTTCATAATAGTCTCATAATTCTTTTTATTTATTTATTTTTAAAAAAATCCTTACCCAAGGACATGCTTTTATTGATTTTAGAGAGAGGAAGGGAGAGGGAGAGAGGGAAACATCGATGTGAGAGTGAAACATCAATCAGTGGCTTCCTGTACTTGCCCCAACCAGGGATCAAACCTGTAACCTAGGTATGTGCCCTGACTGGGAATCGAACCCGAGACCTGTAGGTGTATAGGACAACGCTCCAACCAACTGAGTCACACCGGCCAGGGCTCTTTTTATTTCTTTAAGGTCTGTGGGGATGTCCCCACTTTCATTTCTGATTATAGTTATTTTCATTTTCTCTCTCTTTTTTCTTAGTCAATGTAGCTAAAGGTTTTTGAATTTTGTTGAACTTTACAAAGAATCAGCTTTTAGTTTTGTTGATTCTCCCTACTATTTTTCTGTTCTCTACTTCATTTATCTGTACTCTAATCCTTATTTTCTTCGTTTAGCTAGCTTTTGGGTTAGTTTGCTTTTATTTTTCTAGCTCCTTAGTGTTAAGTGAGACTTTTCACTTGAGATCTTTCTTAATGTAGGTATTTATAGCTATAAATTTATCTCTGAGCATCACTTTTGCTTTATCCCATAAGTTTTGATATATTATGTTTTCCTATTCACTCATCTCAAAGTCTTTTCTTTTTTTATAATTTATTTATTGATTTGAGAGAGACAGACATCGATTTGTTGTTCCCTTTATTTATGCATTCATTGGTTGATTCTTGTATGTGCCCTGACTGGGAATTGAATCTGCAACCTTGGTGTATTGGAAGGATGCTCTAACCAACTCACCTACCTAGCCAGGGCAATATCAAAATATTTTCTAATTTCCCTTGTGACTTTTTTTTTTTGACTCATCATTTGTTTCAGAGAATGTTGTTTAATTTCCAGATATTTGTGAATTTTCTAGTTTTTCTTCTGTTACTGACTTCTAGTTTAGTTTCATTGTAGTCAGAGAAGATGCTTTGCATGATTCCAATCTTTTAAAATCTATTGAGGTGAAAGATTTATAGGATATGAAGAAAGACACCCCAGTAAATTCAATTAAAAAATAAAATCTATAGAAGCTTGTTTTGTGCCCAACATCTGGTCTATTCTGGAGAATGTGCTATGTGCACTTGTAAAAAATGTGTAGTCTGTATTTGTTGGGTGGAGCATTCCATAAATGTTTTAGATATAGTTGTGTGTGAGGTCTCTGATATTTCTGTTCCTTTAGCTTGTGTTCAGCTAGTGTCTTGACAGAATTTCCTTGAACCCCAGGAGCTATTTAAAAAAAAAAGAAACCAAAGAAAAAAGAAAAGAAAAACCCAGCCTTTGTGGATTGGCTCTGTGTTGGTACACCCCTTCACTGCTTGGCCAGGCTGTTTTCAAATTTGTCTTAGCCTTTACTTCCTGCTTGCACTGAGCCATTTTTAAATTGCCTTTTTCTGATTTAGCCTTTGCTTGGTAGTTATAAACTTTGACTTTTTTCCAGAGCTCTCACAGTTGATTATGACAGTTTTTTTGTTTGTTTTTGTTTTGTTTTGTTTTGTTTTTAAGTATTTCTGTGAAGGGATGGGCCTTGGAGCTACCTACTCCATTATTTTCTCTGACCACCCCCAAACCCTCATTCTCAGGTGAGGACCCTAAGAACATACCCTAGGAATAAGAGTAAACTAGAAGTAGACTAGGAATTGAAGCAAAGGTTTTAATCCTCTAATTCCTGAGATTGAATTGAGATCCTTTTAGATAGCTAGTGCTCCTAGCCACTTGCCAAAAGAAAATTTAAACCCTCTCTGGAAGAAAATAGGCCTCAAATTATTTCTCCAAGTTTTCATATACCATGTCCAGAACTTAATACAAATATTAACTAAGGACAAGATTCAGAAAAGAAAACTGAGGATTTAGAGTGCTTTTGTGGAGAAAATCCTTAGCAATCTGCTAGTTCTTGGATAGACAGGAAAGATGGGTCTCTCCCCACTAATCAACATCTAGGGGCCCTTCTCTTTCCTCCTAATTTTCATATTACTTCAAATCTTGATTCCTGTCTTTTAAAAAAATTAATAATGAAAATTCTCCAAATTTAAATCATATGTGTTTGGGGTCTGGAATAGAAAACAATTTTATTATTTTAATAGCTAGGAAAATGGAAATTTCGGGACACCATGAGTCATGATTGTTCCAAAGGGTTCCATCTGTCCTGAATCCCATACCCAAAGCAGTAACTGAACCATATGTAGATATGACCCCTCTCTCAGCTTTCAGTAATCTAAATCAGTGCTGTCTAGTAGAAATATAATGTGAGTCACATACATATTTTAAAATTTTCTAGTAGTCACATTAAAAAAGTAAAAAAAAACAGGTGAAATTAATTTTAATAACATATTTTATTTAATCCATCATATATAATTGTCATTTCAATATGTAATCCTATTAAAAGTTTTTAATGAGGCATTTTACTTTTTTTTCATATTAAGTCTTTGAAATCTGGTATTTTGCGCCTACAGCATATCTCAATTTTAACTAGTCCCATGGGACTAGTGGCTACTATATTAGTCCTGACCCATAAAGTGGTGTTAACATCTGTTAAATTTGCATTGGCTATATTACTTTTTGGCTTATGCTTTTGGAATATTTTATAATTAAAAAAGGGGAGAACAACACACTGGATTTAAAACAAACAAACAAAACCCCCAAAGGAGAAAACAGTAAATCTGTTCAAAACAATGATGTCATCAAGAATTTAACAGGAGGAGAGCAATGGAATGAATGGTCATAATAGGAGATAATCCAAATGGTTTATTTGGGTTTTGTATATGTTTCATACTGAGACTTGTACAATATAAATGTTCTTGCTGTTCTGTAAACTCTCACAATCTGTGTACCAACAATTGAGCCACACCTGGAATGCCTGGCTCTGGAGTTCTAAGGGCTTGTCTGGCTTCCTTTTGAGATCTTTCAGAACCCAGTACCACCACCTACTTTCCATCCCAGGTGGCGGAATGTTCCAAACAAATGCAAAGCAGCCCCTCCTCAACAGTCTCTCTCTACTTCTCATTTTCATTCTCTCTCTTTACCCTCCTTATTTATTTATTTATTTATTTGCTTATTTATTTATTTATTTATTTATTTATTTATATTTATTTGCACACTTCCTTAGGGCAAGGGAGTCTACTATTTTCTCCATCACTTCTCTTGGGCTTTACTGACCAATATTAATCAGAAATGTTCTGTGAATGGGTGATGTCAGTTAAAAGCATGAGATTATAAATGTCCTAGGAACCATTCATTCATTCAATTTACAAATCTCTAGTGATGGGTTATTATATGCCAGATACTGTGCTAGAATCATCCATTTGAGAATAATTTAGAGATGATCCTGAAATACAGCTACCTGAAATGTGCTCACGTGCTCCACCTTTATAGCTTTCTATGCAGCCATGCCTTTCTTCCTAGTTCGTCATACCTATTTCCTCTGCTTTGCCCTTACAGATACTCCATGCCTATTATGTCTTAGAGATACTGTTCGAAACTAAGGAAGCCCTGAAGCAAATGCCAAATTTTAATCATATAAGAACTTGTCCCACCAAAGAGATAACAATCTGTGGTAAGTTTCAGAGCAGAGTTGCCAAATTAATATTTTGGAGCCTCTTGGTTCCACGTCATTTGCCTAACTTGAAAACTGCATAAATTGGCCTGTGTTAAGGGAAAAGTGTTAATATAGAGTTATCTATCATGATAATACTGTTCCCCATCTTGTCTTTGTTTTGCATACCAGCTGGCAGGAATTAATTATGTGAGAAATTAAAGAACTCATAGCTTTTTATAAAGGCAGGCAGCATTTTAATACGGAAAACCACCCATGGGTGGAATGAGTGTTCTTTGCCCTCCGTCTAGCTCTCATTATCTTTGTTCCATGCTGCTTTTCCCAGGTGGGCCTCTGCGTGCCACTTATGCTGGGAAGAGAAAAGCCCAAGGCAGGGTGGAGATTAAACTCTTCTTGGCCCTTGGCTGCTGTTTTAGATTTTTCCAACTGGTCTCTGCAGCTTTTAGAAGAGTGGGAATGTCCCAGAAATCTGTTCCTTGTTCTTCTAAATAACAAGATTGAGATTTTGTTATCCTATAGGCCAGCCTGGCAGGATATTGCTCCAAGAAACAGTACACATTGAAATTCAACACAGTTGGTGCTCAGCATGCTTGCAACTGTCTGAGAATGGAGTGCGTGGAAGGAACAGCAACTCCCTTAACTTCTAATTAAGCCTTTAGGTTACAAAACAGTGATTGTTATTTTCCAAATCAATTTTTAGCCCATGTTTCTTTTACTCTGGCAGGTAGAAATGGATTTGACAATCTAATTAAACCATTTCCATTTCTAGCATCTGATAGTGGTGACAGGGACTTGATGCAACAGCACATACTTCATGACATGCCCTGACTCAGGTTTTTGAAGTCTTTAATGGTTTAATTCCAACCTAATCAGGCCACCACATCTCTGCCTAGCAGATGAGACTTCTCAGCAATGGGGGCCTTTTATTCAAGGCCTCACCAGCTCTTACTTTTCATGGAAACAAAGGTTTTGGAGTCATGAGGCTCAGGAAGCCATGCCTGTCCATGAAGCCCATGGAGCCAGGGCTAGATTTGCTATCAGAGTGCATGTAATTGGCCAAACATAGGTTTCCAGTATACTTCCAGTTGCCATTGTAGACTTAGCTTTGGATAAAAGGATCTGGAAGAAATGAGTTAGAGGGCACGGAATCCTGAAATTACATAGTGTAAGAAATGAGGAGTTCTTACAGAGACCACCTGTCTATCACTTGCTTGCACAGATGAAATTGAGACCCAGAGAGAAAAATGTACCACCTTCCATGCATTTCTGTGTAGTAATGACCTCTCACCTCTACCCAAGCTCACTCAGCTAGTTGGTGGCAGGGTCAGGATTAAAAATCAGGTCCTCTGGTTAGAGCCAGCTGAATATCTGCTATCCTAAATCCACATCATGTACTTCTCTGACTGATGTTTCATTTTCCATCATAAAACAAAAATTAGGGAATATAGATTGATGGGACAGTTCCATTCACTTCAGGATCCCCACATCTTGGGCATTTATTTCCAGGTTTTTCCCACATAGCACCATTGGTGGAAGGAAAAGCCAAGGCCAGTAGGTTCCCTTAGCATAGGAATTATTTTCTGTCTTTAATAGCCCCATGGAACTTAGAAAAATTTGGCCATTATTTAAAATAAAATTTAAAATTAGGGTCATATTTTCAAAAACTTCTTCTGTTTAAGGCAGTATTAGGAAAGGGAAAGAAATTGTGATGAAACTTTACCATTATTTTAATTTCCAAATGCATATTTTCTATGCACATCTAAACATGCTACATGGTTCTTAACATACATTAAATATAGGAGGTGTTTTGTGCTCACTTCGGCAGCACATATACTAAAATTGGGATGATACAGAGAAGATTAGCATGTCCCCCGTGCAAGGACGACACACATACACAAAGAAATATAGGACGTATTTTAGTCTACAGTTATACTATAAATGATAACCAGTTCTGCACTCATGTTTTTGTTTGCAGTGGAAATATCATTCTGTAGCTATCTTTCCATGATATGACTGTTATCATTTGCTGCCCAAGTAGAAGTTAAAAGTATTTTTATAGCCTCCACTCTTAATATGCTGAAACCAATTCATTTTTTAGCATGAGAACTACAACAGTTCTGTCTACCCAAATCTTTAAAAGATGAGTCACCCTGAAGACAATCAGGAAAATAAAATAAGTAAAAAAATATATTTAACTGATAAGTAAAAAAGTCCTTTTATTTTAATTTTTTTAGATTTAGAGTGAGACCATATGAAAGCATGAAATTTAAGTATACAGCAGTATTAATTGCTCTTAACATTAATATTATAGTCATTTTATGAATAAGTGCTGGTGATAAGTAGTTGAATTTTATTATTGCCATTATAATTGGAGTCTTTTGTTGCATGTATTTGCTTGATTTTGGTTGTGGGTTTTTAAGCAAATTGAGGAAAATTTTTCCTAAATTAAATTCTATTTGGTAGTTAAGTTGGAAACAAAGAATAAATATTTATGATTAGAGCTTATGAAAGACAAATATTTACCGAGAAAAAGTTATCCAAGGAGGCCTTTTGAATATTCATATATTCACTCGTGTTTTTTAATTAATGGCTTCATATCTTCATATAGTTTCCCTTAGTTGGCTGAGTTTTATAACGCCATGCTTTCATTTTCATTTCCTATAACTGTCTCATTAAAAGAACGTGAGCTATCTACTCATAATTTTTGTTTCACATGCTATTGCTGGAACATTATTTAAAACATGGCATTAAAAAGTTACGTATTCAGCAATTAAACGTATTTATTGAGTTCCTGCTATACACTGGGTATAGAAGAAACACTTGGGGGTTTAATGCCAAGATAGGTACTATTGCTGCTCTAGAATAATTGCTAAGAGCTTCAGTTTTGAAGTGAGATAAAATTGGGTTTGAATTCCAGCTCTGATATTTGGTAGCTGGGTAACTTTGCATAAGTTACTTAACTACTCTGAGCCTCATTTGTAAAATGAAAATAATGAAAATAATATCCATCTCATAGAGTGGTTATAAGGAGTGAACAAGATAATTAATGCAAACCCATAGTGCACTTCTTGGCACAGAGGAAGGTAAGCACTGAGTAAATGGCTGGAGTGAATAGATAATTGTGATATTAGATGCTGTCCCCTATAGAAAAGGGGACAAAGTTTCCATAGAGTACTATGGAACCAAATTGTTGAATTAATATCATCATAGGGTAAAAACCCAATGCTCCAAGAATGCTTGGAGTATATTAGCAATATTTCAGTTCTAAAATTCTGTAACGAAATGGGCATTTTGTTTCCTACTGAATAATGATTTTTCATTTGCACTCTAGGGGATTTACATGGAAAATTAGATGATCTCCTTTTGATCTTCTCCAAGGTAAATGATTATTTTGCTAAATATTTGCGTTTTTGTTGGGGGAGGGCAATCCTAGGGCAGATAACAATATTAGTTTAATTAGGAATATATACAAGTACAGATGTAATATAATAATTTTTATTCAAGAGGCTGAAAGATTTGTATATCCTTTGGGTTTTTCTTACATGTATTTCATAAAAAATTTTTTAACTTAATTTGGGTCTTTGTTCAATATTATTGTTATTTCTATAGCCCTTAAGATTTGTACCTGATTGTATTTATGGTCTTTATTACATCATAAATGTCTACATGGCACAGGATGGGGAGGGAAGCAGTCTGCTTTATTTTATTTTGTTCAGAAGTGAGCATATCACATACCAGTCTTCTCTTCCAATGCACACTAATTATGTATGAAAGGAGTCCCCCATAGTAAGTTCCATGTTGCTCTCTTCTCTACCTGATTTACCATTGTGGGGCTTAGTTGGTCTTCCAGTGCCATGACTCCTCTTCATTTCTTGGGTTTTGGTGGTGGGAGCCCACACAGAGGGCACAGAGCAGCTTGGTCTGCATGGAGTTTCTCTGCATCTCTTGGATTGGAGTCAATTCTCTCTCTGAGCCAGCAGTTGTCAACTGAATGTTTGCTTCTGGAATGAATGCATGTAAAAAACCGATCCTGTGGTGACCCCTGCCTTCACATTGGTACCCCTTTATCTCTTTTTGATTAATGTGTCATCCCCACAACTAGCATGTTGAATAATTAGGCACAGCATAGGTGTCTCAGATGGATGGAAATAAAATAGATTCTGATTATTATGATGGTTAATCAATTCTACTCTTTGGAGACTGAGAGCTTGAGTAAGCCACGTAACTTCATAAACCTTCATTTTTCTTTTGGCTGCAATATTTTTGAGTTTCCACCTCATAAGAGATTGTCTTGTGAATAAAATAATATACATATCCAAAAGCATTTTTAAGTACTAAGTTATAATAGAAATGAAAGATTTCCATGTTGTTTGTTCAGAATGGAAGCTTGGAAGGAATGGAGTAGACCAAGCCAGGAGTAGATGAATGGAGCTGGCACTTAGGAGGCAATTCAGTTGAGACTGTGGGAGGGCTAAGCAAGGCTCTAGAGCATGATAGCCAGAGAGTGGGGTCAGAGGAAATAGGATGCTGCCCAGGTAATGGCTTGGTATCAGGAAGTCCAGCCAAAGGTTTGCTGGTAGGGAGCTGAGGGTGCAGGTAAAAGAGCAGTTCTAGAGATCAGCCCCAGACCCAAGCTGGGCAGGGAAGGAAGAGAAGCCAGGATGGGCCAATCAATGGAAAAATGGGAGGATTGATGGATTGGCATGTTCTCTGAGGTCAGGGAGCAGGCTGACTGGGGTGAGGGCCTTAGAAAGCAGGATGGGTGGGAAGTTGCAAGGGGAGTGATCCTAGGGGATATGAATGGGTCCAAGCTGGGGTCCAGAATGTGGGTAGCTGAAGTGAATGAAAGAGAATAGTAGACATGAAGAGGTCAAGCCCATGGAAAGCAGGTGTATTAAATGGGTTTGTGACAGGACCAAGAGATGGGGAGCAAGCAAAGGAAGGTTAGTCACAGGTGGTGGGCCTGGAAGGAATAGAGGCTTTTACCTGAGACTGGCAAAGTGGTGATGTGAGTGGTGCTAAGGAGCAAGTAGACCCTCCCCCACACCTGACCCTGAGGTATCCACCCTGTGGAAGAATGGGTCCTTTCCTTCCAGAGGGCTGCAGGAGCCAGGAGTCCAGCAGTGTCTTTAAGGATGGCCCAGATTTCCAGAGGGAAGTCTTTCCAAATGAGTTGAAGGCAGAAGGGAGTTTACTTACCATGAAATGGGGATTCTACTGGCCAAACTGGAAAGCTGTGGATAGAGGTAGAAACGATAGACTGGTGAGAGGACACCAAGGAGTTGCACAGTTTGGGGAATGGCATTTGTGTAACTTTACATAGCACCATATAAATGTTCAGAAGTTCAGTCCTGCTATTGTTGACAATTACAGTCTGCAGAGGGTGGAGGGGGCAGAGATATGTGGGGAATAACCACAACAGAAAACCTGGTAATTGTTTCTCTAGTGGTTTTGAGAAATACATAAAAAAGAAAATAGTTGAGTAAATTAAATGGGGAAAGTGACTTCCAAGGCATTTAGAAAAGAAAATTTCTCAAGAGGTAGTTGAAGATATTAAGGTGTGATCAGGGAAAGGCCTCTGGAGTAGATATGAGAAAAGAGAGAATTCCCACATGTTCCTTTAATTCCATTGGTAAAACTATATGGAACATATAAAACTGGAAGGTGCTAATGTAAAGATTGAACAGGAGGAGGTGGGTGGTAAGAAGTACTATAAAAAGAACTAAAGGTGAAAACATAATTTTTACATGAAAGCAAGAAGTATTTTGAGTTAACCAATGACAGTGTTCAGGAAGTAGAGATGGGGAGCCCAGTGATGAAAGAGTGGGCACTATTATTTGGTATGGATTTGGGTAGGGGGGGTGAGGAGGTTGTTTGGAAAGCAGAAGTCTGCAAGAGCCATGAATTAGAATTTTACAGGCTTGATTGAGAAGCAGGTAAAATGCATCTTAGTTGTGGAATAAACCACATGCACCAGAATCTTGAAATTGCCTGGTTTAAAGGGGAAAATAGAGGGAAGAGGCCTGGATGACAGCAGGTTCCACTTGAAGAAACTGAAAAGATGGTGTCTGAGAAGGAAGAATGACCTGGTGTGCTTACTGTGATGGTGAGTCACTTAGCTTCCGGGCAATGAGTGTCCTAAGTTAAAGACTGAGAAAGAAAAGGGCTGGACAGAGATGTCTCAGGAAGCTATGCTATTTGATGATCTCTAACTTGTAAAAATCAGCATTTTGCCTTTTTTTCTTTCTCATTTTTTTAATCCGAAGTTTAAATGAGGAATGATGATAGATGGCAGAGTATAGGCGATAGTACTTCCTAAATCCTTGAATACAAACTGTTCGGGAAACAATGTTTTTACATGAATACAGAGATGACTGAGATACCCCACCTGTCCAGAGGTCAAACTCCCATCTACTTTACTTATTTTTTATCTTCACTTATCACTTCTACAAAAACCCAGAATTTAGTAAAAAGGGTCTCTAAGCTCTTGAAATTCTTGTCACAAATCCAGTGCTCTTTACTCACAGGAGAGGCCCTAGGCCCTTACTCAAAGACCAGTGAGCAAATATCAGTGAAACCTTATCTGACAGGTTTCCTGCAAGTTTGCCAGTCTGCCCACCTCCCCTACCAGGTTAGGGAGTGGGAAGGGAAAGACGAAAGTGAGATACAGTGACAGTGATGAAAAGTAAAGCTCTTCCTGACAGGAGATCTAGAACTCTAAAAATGAGACAGGAAACGAAGTAGTAATCTTCAGGGATCTGGGGTTGTGTTTATAGGGAAGAGGAATCTGTAGTTTTCAGAGGGGCCTGAGGGCATGCTTAGTTGATGTGCCTGCATGGTCAAGATGGTTTCAAGTTCTAGGGTGTATACTTTGTTAAGAAGTAAAGAAACAAATGGCACTTTTTAAAAACTCACAGCCAAAGTGGTTCAAGTAATTTTAAAACGTATTCTAGCTTTTAAAGGAATAAGCTTCAGTGATCTGGAAAATTCATTTCAGCAATGCTTACAGTATTACCAAGTATCATTATTGGGTCTTAGCGGGGGAAAAAAAGAAAGATTAGTTGAGATAAGAGTAATGGGCCAGGAAAGTAGATGAGGAGGAAAGGAAGAACGTCTTAAAATGAGGAGAAAGGTGGGGAGGGGTGGATTTCTCTTTTTGGCATCAGATACAGAGGTTGCCTGTGCAAGGATTACAACAGGTGCTCTGACCCAAGCAATCACTTGATTGCTTCAGGAAATGGTCGCGTTTCCGTGCCGGTGGCTGATTCTCGCTGTGATACTCAGTGCATCAGCAACGCGCTGCATCTCGGTGACCGGCAAAGCCCTGCATGTGGTGCTCGCCTCTGGAGCACACAGCATTGAACCGCCTCACTGTGAGCCATGGGCTAGCTGTCTTCTGTTTAGAAGCAGCCAGTGACCATGCTTTAACTGATCCTTATTTAATTTATTATTGAAAATTAAATAAATTTATTATTATTTATTAACATTATCAACTTCTCTTTATTTTATTTATGAAAATTATTTTTAGTTTATTCAAGTTCTGATTGCACTTGAATGACAGGGAATAGTTTGGCAAACTACATCCTGTTGGAGATTTTTGGAGCTATAAATGACCCAGTTTATATTATGCTCTGACTGATTCTTCTCCATCAACCCAAAATAGAAACCAGGAAAACCTCAGGCTTTGAATTCAGGCAAAATTGTAATTCATCTTTACGATGGTGTTTTGCTAGACAATTTCTTCCTCATCAGTTCTTTTATACAGTATAGGATGAGTAGGCTGCAGGGCTGGGGCTGGCCCAAGGCCAACCAAAGGCATAGCCTGAGAGGAAGAGTTATAATGTAGGGTCCCCCTGAGACACCTCGCCATATTTTTTCATTCAAGTGGTTGGTTTGGTTTAAGACTTCTGTTGTTATCCAAGTCATATGTAAAAGGGAATCTGTCCACTAATTTATGCTTTCAGTAAACTTCTATCTGGTCCCTACAGTGTTCAAGGCACTATATAAACTGTGGAATGATACAAAGATGAATATGAAGTTCATTTGTTTTATGTATATGTATTAAACACCTATTATGAATGAGGTACTCTGCTAAGGGTTGGTGATACTGTATGACAGTTTTTGGCTCCAAAGACATCACAGTTTAGTGAAGGAAGGTCGACTAATAAAACAACAGGACAGTTCAGGATGGGACACGTTATGACTGGGATAAGCATGAGGCTCCAAGGGAGCACATTGGAGGGGCATCTAACCTCATGGGAGACTTCCTGGAGGAGGTGACATTTAAGACAATCAAAGAATTTTAGTAATTTAGTAAGTGCCTAAATCATGAAGGAAAGTTTTGAAGGATTGGAAAAGATTTTATTCCCATATACTTT